ATTGTTTATAAAAGAAGATAAATAACTGGAACATCATCTGAATAACTTGAAAATTGTTTGAAATTATCGTCGGCCACCGGAGATTCATTATCCGATGACTTCACTAACTTTATCGTCGACTTCTTTACCTTGAAAATTGAAGGGGAAAAATGGGTAAAGGATGTTTTTCACTGCCATATTTATTTTCCGATGACATCGTTAACTTTGCGGGCGACCTCTCGATTGACTTCACTCTGAAAGTTGAAGAAAGAAGAAAAAATGGATAAAGGAGGCGGTCTAGTTCTCTTCTCCACGCTAGGTTAACCGATGAAATCATTTTTATGCATTATCTGTAAAATGGGCTATGTCGGGTAATATTTTTTAAAACATGGGCTATTTTTGGTTTTGAGATTGGGCCGACTCACATAGGATGTAATTACATAAAAAATAAACAGACTTAATGATTGAAATCTAAATGATTAAAATTCAAATTAAAAAATAAGTTAAAATTCGAATGCTCCATTTAAGTGCAAACAAACGAGTTCTAATATGGCCCCGGGGCCCGGCTTAACCTTAATCCCATTTCTTTCGTTCTTTTTAGCCCAATTTTCTAGCGCTGAAGCTGCAATTTGAAAAGACAAAAACAAAGTAGCCCTAGAAAGAAGAAATAGTAAGTTGAACCCAAAATCATGGCTTCTTCCGGCGACTGCAGCGAAGATGACGGCAGTATTTCTTACGGCGATTACAGCGAAGATGACGACCGTAGAAATAGTATTTTTTCCGGCGACTACAGCGAAGATGACGGCTTTAGTGGTTGTATGTCTTGCGGCGACTACAGCGAAGATGACGGCTTTAGTGGTAGTATTTCTTCCGACTACTGCAGCGAAGATGACGGCAGTATTTCTTCCGGCGACTTCAGCGAAGATCCTCCACCGTCGAAGAAACAGGAAGTAAGTGAAGTTGAAGGACCCCTAGACGACTATATCAGTCAGTTGCCGGACGCAATCCTTGTTCAGATTCTCTCTCTTTTGCCTACGACAGAGGAGGCGTACGCGACATGTGTTCTCTCAAAAAGGTGGCAGCATCTCTGGACCTCTGTTTATAACTTCTATTTCAGTCATATTCGCGGGAAATCAAAACGCTTCCTATCATTTGTGGACTATGTGTTAGCTCATTCCGTTGCTTCCAAAATTAAAAAGTTTGAGATCGACTGTAGTCGCCTGTTTAAATACAAGTCCCAAATCGGCCGATGGCTTAGTTTTGCTGTTGACAAAAATGTGGAAGATGCTATAATATATTCTGATTCTCACGTTTGCATATTGCCTGAATCTTTCTTCACCTGTTCGTCGTTGATAACGTTACATCTTGTTGATAGTTGCTTAGTTTCTGATATTGTCATAGCGTGGAAGTCTCTAACGAGCATCAAGTTGGAGGATATGGTGGTAGTGGATGCCGAAATTGTGAACATACTCTCAGGGTGTCCTTCTCTGGAAACTATTGTATTTCATAAGGTTGGGGGCTTTCGTCGCCTCGAAATTAAATCTTCAAAAGTGAAAAGCCTGGCATTGGAAGGTTATTGGCTAGATGAAGGTTATTGGCCGGATGATGATGGAAGTGGAAGTAATCGTTCCTTTGAAATTTTTGCCCCGTATCTTCAGCATTTGGAGCTTTCAAAAGATTTTTATGATTTCAGGTGTAGGCTTGTAGATGTGTCCTCCTTGGTTGATGCTAAGATTACTTTCGACATTAAATGTTTCAAAGAACTTCGGGATAATCCTGATCAAGATTCTGATGATGATGAGGAAGAAAGTTGTCATGATTTTCATCAACGTTTTAAGACCCTCGTCCAAGATTATCTTCAACAGCTGAGATGTGCAACCAGGTTAACAATCGGAACTTGGTTCACTCAGGTTTGTGACTTTTGTCATTAGTACCCTGCATAGCTAAACAAGGATGCTTTTGCTTAGTTGTACATAACTTGGTGCAATTACGTTATCTTTCTCAAAAAAGTATAGTGCATATTTTTTCAGATTGATTTTAGCAGGCAGTTGAACGTAAACATTATACAATTGAGAACCTTTGCAAAAATTTCACCAACACAACTGGACATATTATAGAAACTTGTATGGACTTTTGTGCCTTTTTGCAATCCTTTTTGTCAATTTTGGATGTGGGTTATTTATTTTAGCAGATCTAGAAACGAGGATTTTTTTACGTCACGGTTAGATTTGGTAAAACACTCTCTATCTCATAAGTAGTTTCTATTCGTTGTTATTGCTTTCTCCATTCTTAATAGTTTCATTGGGATTACTGCACCAGGTCCTGTGCATATTGCAGTTCAAAGAGGTGCCAATTCCAGATTTGAAATGCAAATATCTAGAGTTAGAGTTGCACTTGGAAAAGTTTAATTTGTATGGAGCAGCTTGGATTTTGCGAGCCTCACCTCTTGTGGAGACAGTCGTCATAGACGTTGAAAATCAGCCTGTAACTTCCTGGATCTTTTTTCTTTTTCTTTTTACATCTATTCATTTAATGATGTTTTAACAATCTCCCCCCTCCCTTTCCCCGAGAAGTTGTTGTTGAGGAGAATGCGAATATATCTTGAATTATCACTAAGAAGCTTTGCTTTTGTAACTGTAATATGGTTGGTTTTGTTGCTTTCGTTGTGGCAAATGATATCTGAAACGAAAGATTGTTGCGCTGTCACCTTGTACCGCGGCTACCTGCCATGAGTATTTATGGCCGGAAGGACCGTCATAATCATGTTTCAAGTACCGTTATTCTGAAATTTTTCTGTACTGGACACTTATACTGTGAAATCATTTTTTGTCACTTTAGCTCAATTTCCATTAGGCTGACCTGTATTTAGCCCTGACTATATTCTCTGTCTCCAGTTTGATGATTTCAGGTGTCGCTTTGAGTTTGAATACTTGGAGAAAGGTGATAACATTGATCTGCAGAGATATATTTCAGGCTTTGTCTTTCCCAACCTAAAGAATGTTAAGATTGTCATCTCTCCCGGGATGTGCTTGGAGGATCATCTCGGATGGGAATATATCAGGAAGCTTGTCAAACTTTCAAACTTTCTGTTAAAGAATGCACTGATTTTGGAGAAGTTTGTCATCGTATCAAGCAGACGAAGGTGTGAGATATGTTATACCAAATGTGTGTCCCGATATTTATCTCGATTGGCTAAGAAGCTGTCAAATTGCCCAAGATCCTCCGCCAATTCTGTGATTATCTTCCAGGAATGAACTTTCTATGACTTGACTGCAAGTATTTCTGTCTCAGGGTACAAGAATGTTTCCTTATATTAAGTTTCTGATAAACTTAATGCAATCACGAATCTTTAACTAAGCTATTAACTAATTACTGCCCTTTTGAACTTACCGCTTGGTTTAGCATGAAGCTTTTATTTGTTGCATTTTAGATGTTGTGCATGTGCATTGAGAGTTTCTTGCAAGTTGCAACACTTGTTTTCCTGTAAGTATTATGATGAGTAGATCTCCAAACAACATTTCGCGATAATTAGCCTCATTAAGATGTCGTGTTTTGCTAGCTTGCTTCGTCCACAGCGTCAATCCTCTGACTGTGAAATGGTTCCCTCTTTGGCTTTTTTCTTGGAAGAAAGGGGCCTGCATTTTTTGTTTACCTCACATGATTTTTAACAGTCTATATTTGAGGCTTACAGTGTTGTTGAATCTTTTTAGTTGAAGATAAGTCATATTAAGGCTTAAAGTTTTCCCAATTTTTATCCTTTCGTCAATGCTTCCGCTAGAAAATTCAGATTTAAGTCATTTTCAATCACCACTAGAAAGTTAACAACACCACCCCCAACACACACACACACACACAAATAGCTTGTTTGGCCAAGCTTCTTTAGGGCCTCAAAAGCAATTTTTTGAAAAACAATTTTGAGAAAAATACATTTAGAAATACCTTTTTATAGCTTGACCAAATACTAATTGCTGCTCAGAAGTATTTAAAATTTACATTCCATGTTATTACAGCATTGCTTATATTTCTCTCTTTTTCTTTTTCGCCAATGAATGGAAAGTTTTCCTGTGTTGCCCCTCAAATCTAGTCTTTTCTTTGACCTATTAGGTGACAAAATTGATATACTATGACCAGTGTGGTGAATCTAATTTTTCATGAGTGACAACTGATGATGACTCTTCACATAGGAAGCATCTGCAACATAGATTTTACCTTCTTTTCTGCATGTTATCATTAGTGAGACAGGCCCCGAACAAGCCATCTAAATCAGGGGAGTTGCACAGTTAGCTATTAATTAGATCTGTATTTACTCTTAAGCTATTATTTAAAATGGATTTACTTTTTAGCCAGTGCTTTAATAAACTTTTACTTGATTGGACGAAAATACCCTTGTGCTAGACATGGTGTCCTTAACTTCATGAGTGATGTGTAATATTAAGGACAAAGTGTCCTGAATTAGCACCTTTTGTTTTAAACTTTAGGACATCTTGTCCTTAACTTCATATATGTGCAATGTAAATGTTGATGTTTTATACTTCAATACCACACAAGGGGGGAGGGGGGTGATTTGTGTGGTACCCAATTTTCGCTTAACTTGATTATAGAAGGACCTGGTTCTTCTATATGTTCCAACTACTACTGTTTGCGAAGTAATAAGTAAAGAAAATAAAGAACACAGAGATTTTTACGTGGAAAACACCTGGCTCAAAAGGTGAAAAAATCACGACCTACTACTCAGTAGGATTTTCCCAAACTTTCACTAAAATCACTGAGCCAAAAACTGCATTTACAAAAACTCTTGTAAACCTAGGATTAACTCTAATCCCGTTGTGGCACACAACCTCAACTATTGCGATAACTTCAAGTTAACTCTAACTTGAACACTTTAAGTATCTAATACAATTGCTTCTATAAAAGTTAAAAGGTACAATGTAAAATCACCTACTACAATTGAACTAGAATAAAAGATAAACACTTGGAACTGGTTCTTCTATCTTGTTCAAGTAGCTTCAGGATTGCACGCTTGAATTACAAATAAATTGCTTGCAAAATTGCCTTGCTATTTTGCTCTCAATTCACGTTTAACTTCTGCTTATGTGCATTACCTGTAAAAGAGAACAACACTGATATTTAATGGGTTAGTAATTAGAGATTGACTGGGATACATATGCTACTCTTCTATGGTAGAAGAGTTCTAGTTGATCTCATACTCTAACACTATCCTCTTCCTAAACTGTGTTCTCTTCGTATAAGGAGTCTTTCTCTCCTTATCCAATATGCAACCTTTTCGATCAGATCAGGAGATATTACTTCTGATAAGTTAGATTTATCTCCTTCACGTGCATCTCACATGTTTGGGTTGATCATGACTGTGCTTCACAAGATGGACCTGGTCCATGTCTCAGTTCTTTTGTTAGTCTTCAAAACTACACCTTTACTTGGGCCAACAAACTCCCCCTTTTTTATGATGACAAACTCTGTGTTTTTTTTACTTACTTGGACCCTGTAAGAACTCAGCTTAACCATCAATACAAAGTTTAGAAAATTTACTTATCATCAAGGACCAGGTTAATTAGGTTATAAATATCACTTATTCAGCACAATATCTCTTCCCCCTTTTGGCATCATCGAAAAGTTGCATACACAAAGTGTGAGTCCCAAATTTTAATAAGTACTCATGGACACCGGGGCAACTGCAAGTGCAACCATGAATTAATCATCAGTAATCAAGCAAACATATTTAAACTATCAAGGAAATATTAACATTCAATCAAGAGCAAAAACAGTAGATATCATTGATAGAAGATATGTTGCTACCACAATCCACAACCAGAAAGCAAAAATATTCAAAACATGAGCAAAAAGAAAGAAAAATCCCTAATCCGGGTCACTGAAGGTACTAGACAGGTTCAGGAGATAAAGGCTAGAACTCTTAAGGCTTGGAGGAGCTAGAGGGTTGGTTTTGGGCTTGGAGAAGATTCACCATATTGTGAAGAATTCCATCAGTCTTCTCTTTTTCCTTGGTAAGCTCAGTCCTGAGAGCATCCCTCTCAGATTCCACCTCTGCCACACGAGCCTTTAGCCTAGCTATCTCAGCATCCTTGGCTTCACTTTCCTGAACAAGAGCCCTGACTTTACTGTTAATAGGTGTCTTCTTGGATGAACCATTTGGGATGGCATTGACTAAATAGTCACAAGTAAGCAGAGTATTAATGCCAAAGTAATCCTTGCTTGTGGCCATTTCCCATTTCTTCAGAGGCACATTGCACCTATCCAGAATTGTAGTCAGAATAAAGCCATAGGGGGTAGCATGAGCCTTGGAGCCATTGATAACCTTGTCCAGTAGCTTGATGATGAATGCAGACTAGTTAATTTGCCTTCCACTTTCAAGGCACTCCATCAGAACTAAGTCCATATAATTTGCAATATGCCTTCTCTCCTGCCTGAGCATTAGGCACTTGTTGACAAACTCAAAAATGACTTTGTGTTGTGGATTCATTTCACTCTTGTGCACAAACTTGGCCTCATTCACTTCTTCAACATCACAAAATCTCCTAGTGATTGTAAGGGCAGATGGAAGGGAATCCAGACTTGGCCATCTCTGCCTGGTGTAATCATCATATCCCTCAGCAGGGATATCTAGAATCTGTCCCAGCTTCTCAGCATCAAATGTCACTTGAACTCCTTTGACTTTGCTTGTAACTCTGCCATCTTTGACTTCAGCATTTTCCATGAATTCAATGATTTCATTTCTGGCCAATATCCCATCCATCTGAAGGACCATGTCCTTCCAGCCTTGAGCAGCTAAGGTGTCAACCAAACGAACCATTCTTGGTTCCACCAAATCTTTCAGCAATCTTCCCTTCAAATTTTCCTTTTGCCAAACTTGGAAAGCTTGTCTTGTTCACCATCAGACTCATTTTCTTCTTCACCACTCCATTCCTCATCTTCAGAAACTCTAACTTGTTTACTTTTTACTGCAGACATTGTAATCTTGGCCAATGAAGGTTCAGCAGCCTCAGACACAGAGGAAGACTTCTTGGAAGAAGTCTTGGTCTTTTTGGGCTTGGGGGTCTGAACCTCCACTGTTGTAACTTTCTCCTGATGGACCTGTTCCATCTCCTCAACATCAACAACTTCTGAGGATTCTGCAACCTTACCTTCTCCTTTATCCATCCTTTTCTTCTTACTTTCAGCCAAAACCTGTTGTAGGTCTCTCTCACTCTGTTTGACCCTGCTTCTTGTTGCTCTTCCCTTTGGCAAGGGAGTTTCAGTAGTTGTTGGGGAGGAAGCCTTTCGTTTCTTGGAAGGTTTAGCAGCACTGGAGGGTTTTGGTGTGGGAGTTCTCCTTTTCTTTGGATCGTAACTTGCACCTACCTTTTTCAGAAGGTCTGCTAGGGTCTCTTCAATTGATGAACCAGGTTCATCTCCCTGTGAGCTTAGATTAACTAGCCCCTCAATAGCCTCCCTTGAACCGCTCCCCCCTAACTTCTTGCCACTTTCTTCAACATTTTCTTGTGCAACACCACAAATAGCAGGTACAGACACTTCAGCAGTGGGTGAATGATCAACCACTTCTTTCCCTTTTCCCCTCACGTTACCACATTCACCCTCTCTCTCTTTTTCTTTTTCAGATTTCTTTTTACCTCCACTCCCTCCTGACTCAGGTAGTTCCACATCCCTTTTAGGTCCAACCAACACAAACCTATTTTCTAAATTCAGCCAAAGAAGAACTTACCTTAGAAGGGGATTTCTGAGCCTTATCAGAGTCATAAGACCCAGGTCATTCCCCCTCACTAGCAGATTTGAACGAATCAGACTCAGAGTTAGAATCAGAATCTTGGGCCTGGCTTGCCTTTAATTTCTCATTCAATTTCTTTGAAAGAGCACCAGAAGCCACCGTTTTGCGAGCAAGCATTTTTACTCTCCTTCGCCTGGGTTAGGGAGTGGTGCTAGGTGTAGGAGGGGTAGATGAATCAGAGGGAGTAGGCTGTGGAGGAGTTCCAGTGTTGTCTTGTGGGTTCATCATTGTAGCTTATTGCTAGAGAGAATCGGTGAGTTAAACCTTTGGAGAATAAAGCAATTGAGAGTGAAGAAGGTTTTTTTTTTGACGGTTTTGAATTATGAGGATGCCAGGAAATAATAATGAGTATTTAAAGAGGAAGACTCATTTAATGGATAACGGTAGCTTTAGCAGTAAATTAGAGGTCTAATCAACCTGAAATTGCAGGTTGAACGAACGGTTAAGCTTCCCTAGATTTTAGGCAATTTTTGTGGTTAGAATTCTAATGAAGACGGAACTGGTTCAAAAACAAACGGATAGAATTTTCTAAGGAGTTGAACAATTGTAGGACTTCTGCTCATGATTTAAATATTTATATTTCTAATTGTG